GCGAAATCTTAGGAAAAAAACCATCGGTCTTTCAAGATTTTCACAACATGCTACCAAACGGGCGTCGCGCGCGCATGTCGAAATCTGTCGAACGCCCTTGCGCGTGTGCCGTCGCGAGAACCCTCTGCAAAAATGGGACGAAGTGCAGACGCGCGCGTCGTCGCGCGCGTATGCCGAAATCCTTCAAAACCCATAGGTGGAAGGATTTCAAAATTGAGCATCCAAAAAACCTACAAAAACACAAGGTTTCGCAACACGGATTTTCAACAAAAAAGGTGCGCGCGCGCGCTCTTGCGGCGTCGTCGTCGTCGTCGTCGCCGTCATCCCTCCTCCCGCGTCGTCGTCGTCGTCGTCGCCCACGTCGTCCTCTGTCTTTCCTCGTGTTCGTCGTCGTCGTCCGCTTTGGCGTCGTGGTCGTTTCCGTCGTCGTTGTCGCCGTGGTCGTCCTTCCTCCTCCTCCCTCGTCGTCGTCGTCGTCCGTCGTCGGCGTCTCGTCGTCGTCCCTTCTATTTCGTCGCTGTCGTCGTCGTCGTCGTCGTTGTCGTCGTCGTCGTTTTCTCTCCTCCCTCATCGTTGTCGTCGTCGGCGTCGCCGTCCTTCCTCCTTCTTCGTCGTTCGCGTCGTCGCCGTCCTCCCTCCTCCCTCGTCGTTGTCGTCGTTGTCGCCGTCGTCGTCCTCCCTCCTCCCTCGTCGTCGTCTTCGTTGGCGACGTCGTCGTCGTCTCGTCGTCGTCGTCGGCGTCGTCGTCGTCGTCTCGTCGTTCGACGTCGGCGTCGTCGTCGTCGGTGTCGTCGTTGTCGTCGTCGTCGTCGGCGTCGTCATCGTCGTCGGCGTTGTCATCGTCGTCGTCGTCGTCGGCGTCGGCGTCGTCGTCGTCGTCGGTGTCGTCGTTGTCGTCGGCGTCGTCGAAGTCGTTGGAGACGTCGCCGGCGTCGTCATACTCGTTGTCGGCGTCGTCGTCGTCGTTGTCGCTGTCGTCGTCGGCGTCGCTGTCGTTGCCAAGTGCCATTTGGTACCCACCGTCACGGTCTTAAGAGATTTTGCAAACCAAGTTGCGGGTGGGTGGGTGGGATGTGTGCGCGAGCAGTGGAGTGGACAACTCACTGCGAACAGAAATTAGCTGTACCATATAGACTATAGACTACACTACATTGGTTGCACAAAATAGCTCGCAAAACAAATATTGCACAGCAAAGGGTGCACCACCAGAATGCAACTCGTAGATTGCACCACACCTGTCGCTCCACATACAGCACACAGCATAGATTGCTTCACCTAGATTGCCCAGCATGGTTTGCAACAAATCTATTGCACAACAGACATTGCACCGCTTAGATTGCACAGCAGATACTTCAGAAACCATTGCACAACCTACGTTGCACCACAAATGTTGTCCCATCTATCTTGCACGGGATCTGTTGCGAGAGACACACGGGTTGTGACCAACGCTGACTAACTTACAAAACCGAAAACTATGTGGCGAAAGCTGTCGTCAACTCCACTGCGAAACCTCCACCCTCCAACCCGCAACTCGTTGGCAAATATCATCTGGCGGGCGCGTGGGCCTCAACCGCGCAGACAGGTCCGTCCTGCAAGCCGCGAAACTATGGTGGCGACAGCGGCGACCGCGACGCCATCGCCGACAGCGATGACAGTGGTAATGACGCTGATGCCGATGGTGATAGCAGCGGGGATAGGGACGATGGCATGTCGGTGACGACCATGGCAGTATGGTGATGGTGATAGACGATGGTGAGGATAATGACGGTGGCACCGATGACGCTGGCGGTGATGATGACGATGGTGCTGGTGATGATGAAAATATGCCCGTGCGCGGAAGCATGACGAGTTCCACGACGTCGACGATGACGATGATGATGGCGGCGGTGATGACAGCGATGCTGATGATGATGATGATGGTAATGATGATGACAACAATGATGACGATGATGACGATGACGATGATGGTGATGACGATGACGATGGCAATGATGCTGCTGACGATGATGACATCGATATTTCTGATGAGGGTGATGGGGGAGTGCGCGCCAACAGAAGTTTAGAAACTATGTAATTCTGAGCTGCTTGTATTGAAAACCGTCGGCTGTCGCATGTGTTGAAAGTCTGTGCTGAAACGATTAGAAAACAGCTGGCGTGAAAGGATGTCGACTTGCGCGTGAGGACACGCGCGCGTGTTGCATGACAGAGTTAACGGGCGCGCGATGGTGGTTGAACGTTGTCGGCATGCGCGCACAAGTGGCCCGTATGGTCTGTCCCTCATTGTTGATCAACCTAGTGCTTCCTCGTGATTTCAACGAGTGCGTGCGTGCAGAATTCTGCATTCTTGTTGGGAAACCATATGGTGTCGTGAAATGGCTGGGGACGAATGGTTTGTGAGTGGTCTTGGCATCCGCGCACGGCGGCACGCGCATGTGCCCCGCATCGCACAGTACAGCGTTTGTTGCAGGTGATGGCCGGGTGGGGGGTCGATGCCGGCCTTGCCGGCATGCTATTTTCTGATATTCGGGATGAACGATCGCACAAACTAATCAGGACCAACAACACACGGCGGGGATGGATCAACCCCAACCTCGCCAGGTGGGTGGAGTCGAATTCGTGATTCGGAAGAGGAGCCTGCCTCGTGCAATCGCAGCACCATCTTACGGGGGGCCAACGATCGGGGGCGCGCAACAATGGATTAGCGATCCATGGATTTGGCGCGCGGTTGCCAGATACATGGATCGGGGGAAGTGCCCTCCCCAAAATGCGGCCGGTGCCGCCTCGCTCGGCGGCAGAAATCTGCGATCTCCCATGGAAACGGGACCCGTCGCTAATACACGCCCCCGTGATCCATGTTTGCGATCGTGGGGCCTCCCGGGGACTCCTGCGGGGCACCTCGGGCGAGGGTTAGGTCGGGCGTGTCCCCTTACAGGCGGATTTTAAATGAAAACTTACAATTCAATCATCCAAAAATATACGAAAAATATGAGTAAATCGCCTGAAGCGAAGCGCCGACGGGCGCGAACCAAACGAAAAAAACACCGAATACGCAGCCAGCACGAGGCGCCCCCGCGAGGCGCACACGGACGCCCCCCCCCCCCCCGCCAAAGCCTGGAGAACTCGCGGCCAACACGAAGTTGGCGCCCACGACACGCGGCGCCCGAGCACGCCCACCAGCCGAAGAACCCGGAAAACCCAGCCAACGCGAGGCTGGCCACGAGACGACAACCGGAAACACGGAGCCAGCCCCCAGTTACTAGGGGAACGAGAATGACATAAACATAAAAACTCGGAGGTCAGCGCGGATTTCTCGGATCGGCGCTGGACCCCTCACCCTGAAATGATAAAGATTAACGCGGCATCGCAACTCCTTTTCAATCCCTCCTCTTTCCTTCGCCCTCTCTTCTCCCTCGGCTTCCGTCCCTCCGTACATCACAAAGGCCGTCTGGACCAGCACTGGCCCTCCCAGGGAACTACTGGCGAGGCACAGTTGATGGGAATGTCCCCATCGGGTCGCATAACGTTACCCAAACAACTTCGAATGCGCTCATGGGACAAGTGCATGGCCACCACCAGCTTAAGTAGATACATGCACACATACACTTTTTTGATCCGCGGGTCGAGAGCGAGCCTCTTCCAGTCGAAGCTAAGCGGGCCGCGCACAGCTTTAATTGTCAGAGGGGGGAAGGCAGAAGGAGGGGCCTCACGTCAAGGCCAAGAGTGGGCAAAGCCCCGGAATCAGGCGGTGCCGAAGGCGATGTGCATGCAAAGAGACGCCTTGTACAGGAACCTGGAGGCGAAGTACCAGAAAAGCAAAATACTGTGGTGGTGGTGCCGTCAGCGGCGCTTCATGTACACCAGCCTCAAGTGACCGCGGGAGAGGACGCACATGCACACATACACACACTTGCAAACTGGTATCCCCAAAGCACCTCCGACAACGGCGAACTACCCCCGGCAAACGGCACAGTGCCAGCGGGAAATAGCCAGGAACAGCCGAACAAGCAGACTGCCCAGCATCCTCAAAGCCTGGAAACCTCGCGGGAACACCTGCGGTCAGGAACTCGTGCTTAGCGTGTCGCGGCGGCAGCTCTGGCGACACGCTAAGCCGTGCGAGCTGATAGCGTCTGGCTCTGCTTCGTGGGACGGGAGGATGGGAAAAGCCAGAGGCTTTGACGCCTGGAGACCGGGGCGTGGCCAGCGCGTCGCGCCGAAATGTCGTGGGCCAGAATCACGGCGCGACACGCTATAAGCAGGAATTCCTGACCGCAAGGAGCGTCTCGGGAACCTCTCAGGAACCTGCCAGAATTCTCTCGGGAACCTCCGAGGAACCTTTCGCACATGTAAGGCTTCGGGTTGCACGCAGACAGCCTCCACAGGCGGTCCTGGCTGGTCTCAACATGCCCCCCGAGTAGTCCCAGCTGGCCTCAACAGGCCCCCAGAGTAGTGCAGGACATTCACAACTTTCCACACCTGGGGCGCGGAGGAGCGCTCCAGGGGCGCCGCCGGAGGCGGCGCCAGAGTGATAAGGCCGCCTGGACTACTCGGGTGGCCTGTGGAGAGGCCACCCAGGACTACTCGGGGGAGCCTGTGGAGGACAACCAGGACCACCTGAGGCGCTACCTAGTCCTACCATTCGGGCACCTCGATGGAACGAGAGCAGAAGAGCCCAGAATCGAATCCATAAATCGGATCGGCGATCGAAATGAATCGGATCGGCGGAAATCGGCAGCCGAGTCGGAAAAAGTCGAATCGGCGGAAAACGGCAGGCCAGCATACCTCCAATGAGACATCGGAACCCGCATCGGAACCCCACATCGAATCGAACGGGAAGCGGAAGCCGTCGAGATCGAATCGACTCGGAGTGGAGGAGTCCAAGCGAGCCGAAGCTGTGCGAGGAGCCGCTCGAGGGCTTCCGGCCGCCCTCCAGGCCGGAGGGCCAGCGGGAGGCACGGGCCCCTCTCGGCGGCGCGTGGCGGGCGGCGGCGCGCCGGGCCGTCCTGGAGGTGGCGCAGGTCCACGCTGCCCTGGCGGCGCGGGGGCCGGCGCAGAGCCAGGGCGCTCCAGGAGCACCGCTTCCGACCCCCATCTCGGGCCGGGCGAAAGGGGGGGATGGCAAAGGGGGGGGTTCGAGAATCAGCTCACGTAGCTGATTCTCCTGGCGCCTCCCGGCGCCGGAGGCGGCTATGTATCGAGGAATGGGCCCCGCGGTGAGGCCGACACCAGCTGCATGCAGCAGATTTCGTAACCCCCCCTTTCCCAATCCCCCCCCTTCGTCCAGCCCGGCTATCCCAAACGGCGTGGCCTGGGCCCCGCTGGCCGATTTACCCCCCCAGATGGGGATGCAGGCCGTTGCGTTCGGGCTTCGAGGGGTATATACCCAACTAGGGTGGTAAAATGGTGGGGGTCTGGATGGGGATGGGGATGGGGACAGGGGTCGGTTAAAGGATGCTGACGTAAGGCAGCAAGTGCAAGAAAGACAAAGGAAGCCAAGGTCATCCTACGAAATCCATGCGAAAAGCCAACAAAAACAAAGGAACGCGCATGCTTTTGCGATCTGATCGCCGCGAAACCTATGAAAACACAGGGAGTGGTCATCTCGACGTCACGAAACACTATGTTTTCATAGGTCTCGTGGGCACCAGCTGGCCAACACCTTACTTTTCCTTAGGTTTCGCAATCTTGTCGTATGGATTTCTTGGGTTGGTTTAGTTTTATTTGTTTCTAGTGTGTTTTGTTTTCGCGTGCCCGCCCACGGCGGCGCGAGGGCCGGCGCAACGTCAGGGCGCGAACAGGCAAACATGGAGAAGAAACAACAACTCAACAAAACACAAGCACATCCCAAGGAGTCCGTGCGAAAAGCCAGCAATAACTAAAGACAGCCAGTGTTTGTTGCTATCATATCGCCACGAAACCTGTGAAATCAAATTTTTCAGGTATCGCGGCGTCATGAAATACTGCAGTTTCACAAGCGTCCTGAAACATTTGATTTCACAGGTTTCGTAGGCACCAGCTGGCCAACACCTTGCTTTTCCTTACGTGTTGCATTGTTCGCATGGGCTTCATGAAATGTCATTGCATTTTGTTCCCAACCCTCCGGCGTTGGGTTCTCGTTTTGAATGGAGCATCCCTGGGGGGGGGGCTGCGATCTGCGACACCGTCGCGACTTTCGAAGGCTGCTGGGGTGTCCAGCGGAGCGACGTCCTACCCAATGTCAAACTAGACCTCGCCATACCTGGGGGGGGATTTGCGAAACTGTCGCCATTTTCGAGGTTTGCTGGGAGGTCCAGTGGAACGACGTCCCACGCAGATTCAAACTACACCTCGCCATCCCCAGGGGGGGGCTGCGATATGCGAAACTATCGCCACGTTCGAGGGTCGCTGGGGGATCCAGCGGGGTGACGTCCCACGTAGATTCAGATTACACCTCACCATCCCAGGGGGGGGGGGCGATCTGCGAAACTGCCACCACGTTCGAGGGCACGTGGGGGGTCCAGCGGAGCGACGTCCTACCTAAATTCAGACTACACCTCGCCATCCCTGGGGGGGCTGCGAATCTGCGACACTGTCGCCACATTCGAGGGCTGCTGGGGGGTCCAGCGGAGCGACGTCCTACCCAGATTCACAGTTAACCTCACCATCCCTGTGGGGCTCCGATATGCGAATCTGTCGCCACTTTCGAGGGCTGCTGGGGGCTCCAGCGGGGTGACGTCCTACCTAGATTCAAATGAGACCTCGCCATCCTGGGGGGCTGTGATCTGTGAGACGGTCGTCAGTTTCGAAAGCTGCAATGGGGTCCAGCGGAGTGACGTCCCACGCAAATTCAGACTACACCTCGCCTTCCCTGTGGGGTCTCCGATATGCGAATCGGTCGCCAATTTCGAGGGCCGCTGGGGGGTCCACCGGAGTGACGTCCTACCCTGATTCAAATGAGACCTCGCCGTCCCTTGGGGTTTCCGTCTGCGAAACTGTCGCCATGTTCGAAGGTTGCTGGGGTGTCCAGGGGAGCGATTGGCTACGCAGGCTCAACCTAGACCTCGCCATCCCTGGGGGGGGCTGCGATCTGCGACACTGTCGCCACGAGGGCATCTGGGGGGTCCAGCAGAATGACGTCCCACGCAGACTCGCCATCCCCTGTGGGGCTGCGATATGCGAAACTGTCGCTTCTTTCGAGGGCTGCTGGGGGGTCCAGCGGGGCGGTGTCGTGGGGCGCCCACGGACCTGGCGGCGCGGCTTGGAGCGCTTAGCTCCCGCATTGAAAAGTGTAGGAAGAACACAGAGGAACTGGCGGGCGAGCGAAGCCACGGTCGCTTCTTGCACAAGCTACGTGCGGGTTTAATCAGTTTGCCGAACGCCGCAGCGACATGGCGCAGGCAGCGCTCCATCTTTAGCGTGCGACGGACAAAAGCAACACTCTCCGGTCTCCTCCCGTCACGTTCGTCGTCGTCTTCTGTCCCCTGCCACATTCCCTCTGCTTCTGCCGCACTGATGGGTCGGTCCCCCAAGCGTCCTTCTCCTGCTATCCGTTCCCGCCTCCATGTCCTCCTCAAACCTGGGCATTCGCTCCTCGTCCTTCTGTTGTTGTCCTGTGAATCGCGCCACGTGGGCACATCCCATGTAGCTTGCGCAACAGCTAACGGCGCAGTCACTGCCATTGTCTTGGCAAGTGTGGGTCAACACCTCTTGCCACTTGATGCCACTGGGTTGGGTACGTCGCAGTGGTTTTCGGTGGTGGCAATTTCTGTACGTTTCGCATGTTCGCCTGCCCGCCCATACAACATGGTTCCTTCTGGTGCGGCCTTGCAAAGAGGATTCCTGTCGTGGCGAACTTAAGAAAATTAGCCTGGCGAAAGACCGAACCATATGCAGTTGTGCATATCGTCGTTGTATGAACCGCATTCGGGGGAGCTCCCTATGGAGCCGCGAAAAGTGTGAGGGGTGTGCCAACATGGTTGCGGCGGGCGCATGCGGACGCTTGCATTCAGGCCTTCGGTGGAGTTCCCTATGGAGCCCCGAATCGTGTGAAAGGTGCCCAAATGGGTGCCGCGGGCGCATGCGAACGCTGGCATTTGGGCCTTCCATGGGGCTCCCTATGGAGCCACGCGAAGTGCGAGGGGTGTGCCACAATGGGTGCGGCGGGCGCATGCGAACGCTAGCTTTTGGGCCTTCCGTGGGGCTGCCTATGGGGCCACGAAACGTGTGAGGGGTGTGCCAAAACGAGTGCGGCGGGCGCATGCAAACGCTTGCATTTGGGCCTTCCATGGGGCTCCCTGCGGGGACACGAAGCGTGTGTTGTGTGTGTGTGCCAAAATGGTTGCGACGGGCGCATGCGAACGCTGGCATTTGGGCCTTCCGTGGGGCTCCCTATGGCGCCACGAAGCGTGTAAGGGTGTGGTGCAACGGGTGATGACGATGATGATGATGATGATGATGATGATGATGATGATGATGATGATGATGATGATGATGGTGGTGATGGTGATGGTGATGGTGATGGTGATGGTGATGACGATGATGACGATGATGATGATGATGATGATGATGATGATGATGATGATGATGATGATGATGGTGATGACGGTGATGATGGTGATGACGGTGATGATGGTGATGATGCTGATGATTAGAGCTCGCCATCCCTGGGGGGGGCTGCCATCTGCGACACTGTCGCCACGTTCGAGGGCTGCTGGGGGGTCCAGCGGAATGACGTCCCACGCAGACTCAGATTAGACCTCGTCGTCCCCTGTGGGGCTGCGATATGCGAAACTGCCGTTTCTTTCGAGGGCTGCTGCGGGGTCCAGCGGGGCGGTGACGTGGGCCGCCCACGGACCTGGCGGCGCGCCTTGGAGCGCTTAGCTCCCGCATTGAAAAGTGTAGGAAGAACACAGAGGAACTGGCGGGCGAGTTAGGCCACGGTCGCGCGGGTTTAATCCGCCGACCCCTTGGGGTCACGGCGTGTGAGATGCTTCCCCCTCCCCGAACCCCTTTCCCGGGAGCCCGGTCCGGCCGGTTTGGAGGGGGGGAAGGGGGCAAAGGTGTCATCAGGCTCCACGAGGCCCCAGAGGGCTCCAAACAGCCCCCACGACGGCCCAAGAGGCCCCCGAGACGCCCAAAGGTTGGCCCAAGACGCCCAGGATGGCCCCAAGAGGCCCCCAAGAAGCCTCCCAGACGGCCCAGGAAGCCTCCAAGAGCATCCCCAAGAGGGGCCCAAGAGGCCAAAATCGTCGAATTCCGATGGGGAAACATACAATTGTATCATACACGACTCTTCGGCTTTCACGGCGTGGAAGACGGCCCCAGTCCCCCAAAACCCCCCCAAAACGGCCCAAGAGGCTCCCAAGAGGCGCTCGAAACGGCCCCAGAAAGCGCCAAGACGGCCCAAGAGGCTCCCAAGACGGCCCAAAGAGGCGCCCAAGAGGGGGAGCCTGAACCAACAATCCGAGCCTTCCGCCCCAAGACGGCCACAGGAGGCCCGAAGAGGCGCCCAACAGGGCCCATGAGGCCCCCAAGAGGCCCCCCAAGAGGCCCCAACAGGCCCCCAAGAGGCCCCCAAGAGGCCCCCCCAAGAGGCCCCCAAAGGCTCCCAAGAAGCCCAGAAGAAGCCCCAATACCACTTGAGGCATGCAACTTCTAACCCGAAACCCAGGCACCAAGGACCTCAGGCCGACAACCAATGCACGGTGGCGTGATGGGCCGAAGACCACGATATATAGACATATACACAATCATACATACAGTCAGACATACCATCATACATACATATATGAATACATACATACATACATACATACATACATACATACATACATACATACATACATACATACATACATACATACATACATGTATGAATACATACATACATACATACATACATACATACATACATACATACATACATACATACATACATACACGCATGCATGCATGCATGCATGCATGCATGCATGCATGCAAGCATACATACATACATACATACATACATACATACATACATACATACATGCACACCATACATACATACATA